ACATTAATTCTTTCAATTGCTCTTGTATTTGTGCCATTGCACTCTTCATTTCAACAAGTTCTGCCATGATAACACTTAGAAAAGAAAAGATGTCTAATATTTCTTAAGACAAATAGAAGAGACAACTTGAGAACAAAGAAAATACTAAGGATAATATCAGTTTAGAAGAAGGTAATCCGTAACTTCTAATATGCTTATATCTTATCAAGAAAAAGGGATAATCCACTCTTAATCAAGATTAGACAAAGCTCTGATATTGTAGGTGTACTCTTGTCAATTTGTCAAGGACAAGAATTCGATGAAAAAGAAATTCAGACAAGTGAGCCTTCACTCAAAGAAAGGTAACAAAATATAAATAAACAAGTATGTATATTGAAAGAGAAACTGGAATGGCTATTGCCAAAAGACAAGAAAACTAGAGACCCTTGAAACTAGACTAGAAGGAAGAAAGGAGTTAATAAGAGTGAAGAAGGCTTCACTCTTGTTTTTATATATACTATCTAACTAGAGCCTACGTGGCGGCATTCTATAGGACCTTTGGTAAGTGTTGACTTTGTAGGACACATGCCTTGACTTATAAGGCAAGTTTTTCTACGTATGGGCCACATTGTTAGCTTGGTCTTCAAGCTAACAACATATGTGATACATGGCCAACTTGTTGACCATATTTCTAATCCAAAAAGTCAATTAAAGTCACCTATAAAGTCAAAACAATGTCTATAAAGCTTCTAGAAAGCTTCCATATCAAATACTGTAGAATTAACTTACTTTTATCTACTTTTACTTATTTCTATTAATATATATATATAATTATTGACTTTTATGAGTATGTCCGTGATAGCTAAGTGTGCATAAAGTTTTGTGTTAATTTAATGATGTAATTGAGAGGTGTTTGGATTTTGATACAAGAGGATATCAAAAGTTGGCAATTTGGAGTTGAATAGGATTTCTATGATATGTGAAGATCTACTAATTGAAATAAGGTGAAATTTGGCATGGTATTAGAAGACTTAAAAATCAAGCTATATATCAATTTTGAACTAAAATTAATCATTGAAGAAAGAAAAATTGCTATTGAAACATTTGCATTAACTTTCAAGTTGGTAGTTAAGTGACATTAGTATAGTTTTTTGGACGTTTTCTCACAATGTATAAGTTAGATTGGATTGAATTTTTGTTAAGCATGTAGAAGATTTATAATGACATTTATGCACAAAATTTTGTACCAAGTGAATGGTCAAATTAGAAATTATAGCTTGCTAAAGTTCATTGTCTATAATTACGGTTTGCAAAGAAAAATCAAAATTATCTAATTATAAAAATAATAAGGAAATTGGAGTTTAAGTATACTTGAGATTATTAAAAAGAATTCTTTTTAACACTTTGTATTGACTTTAAGCACTTTTGAATTAAAATTTGAATTTCATTCTTTTTCTATGGATGAAACCTATTATGATTTTTTAAATACTTGTAAAACATAACTTCACCTTCCATGGCTAGATGCCTAGTGCATTTCCAAACAAGACAACAAGTGATACAACAATATATCTCATAAATCAAATACTTATTGGAGGTCATATATAAAGTTGCTACATAACACTTAGTTGAATTGTATATTTAGATGCAAGAATGAAGCTTTCTTCACTCTTATCAATGTCTTTCTAGTCATTACTTTTGTTTTATGACTTTTTAGTCTTTTTGTCTTTGGCAATAGGCATTCTAGTTCAATATATTACAATCTTTGAGTGATTTTATAGTATTTTTGAGTGACATAAGAATATATTGGGATTTTTTTCTTTAAGATTCATATCCTTGACACACTCTTATAAATTCTATTGACTTTAATAATTCAATTAAAATAGAATATTTTTTTATATTACAAATGAACCTTCATAGCCAATCTCCTATTAAGTTACAAAATTTCATTTGGCATGGAGAGATATCATAGAATCTAAAAAAGATTCTAACTATAAAAAATTATCTAAGAGATATGCAACAAGCTTTATGGAATTTTTTTAGTTATAGCATGGTAGATTTATGAAATAAAATAGAGTTAGAATAAAAACAAAAACTTAAAGCAAGACTAGTAGCTTTTTTCTTTCAACAAACGAAAGGAATCAATTATGACAAGGTCTTTGCAACTATAGCAAAGTAGAAGGCTATTAAATCTATTATAATGATTTCAGCTAGCAAAAATTGACCACTCATATATTTAGATATTAAAAAAGTATTTTTAAATGACAATCTATGAGTGACTATTTTCATAGAAATACCAAAAGGATTTCAAAGTACATTGACACAAAATAAGGTGTTTAAATTGAAGAAATTTAAATATAATCTTAAACGAGTACCAAGAATTAAATTCAAAAAAATAAACTCTTTTCTTAATGAATCCAATCTATCTTGAACTAAGGCAAATTATACCTTGTTTCTTATCACCAATAACAAAAAAAATAATTGTATTAATTCTCTATGTTGATAACATCCTATTCATTAGTTTAAATCATTAATATATTAGTGAATTCAAATAAAATCTCTTGCAATGTTTTGAGACAACTGATCTTCAAAATAAAACACTACATCTAGAAGTAGAATTCATTAAGCTCGAAAATAGAATCTTCTTAATTCCAAAATCTTACTTCCTATAGATTTTATAGAAGTTTGACTTCTTAAATTATAGCCTAGTATTTGTATCCATAATTGAAGGCTTGAAGTTAGAGGTAGAAGACGACTCCCTAAATATTAATGCTAAATACTTCCAACAATTCATTGAAATGCTTATCTATCTCATCAACACTTAGCCCAAAATTTTATTTATCACCAATTTTTTGAGTAGATTTAAACAAAGTTCTAAAACTTTGTACCTAGAAGCCGCAAACTAAGTATTGCGGTACATCAAAGTAGCCTTGGATTTTGATATCTTCTACAAAAAATAGAAGAGTCCAACCATCATAAAATACATAGATGCAAACTGGGACAACTATTACTTAGATATGAAGTTAATTGCATGTTGGGTATTTAGGTGAGCTAGGGGCCTAATTTTGTGGTCATCTAAAAAACAAGACATTGTTGTTGTTTTTTCTAGTGACACTTAAGCAAAGGCTATGTCAAAAGAAATTCTCAAAATCATATAGCTTTGCACCTTGTACACAAAGATCTATGGTCTTGCATTCAATTTCATCATAATATTTTGTGACAACCAAAGCACCTTAGGAGCAGCTCAAAATCTAATCCACCATCAACAACTTAAATATGTAGAATTATGATTATACTTTATTAAAAAAAACATACTTACAAGATTAATAAACATCCTAAATTCAAACCAACAATCAAATTGTTGATTTCTTCATAAAACCATAAGACAAATAAAGGTTCACAAAGTTCAAGGATATGCTTAAAATCAAAAGCATAAACCTATTAAGATGAACCTAATAATCTTGTAGAACTCAACATCTTCTTGACTCCTAAAACTTTGAAACTTTGCATTATTGTACCAGTTTATTTATTGTTCGCAATCATCCCAATAAAAATAAAACCATATTCTAAAGCCACACCTAACAACATATAACCTCTTGATGCCCATTAAATAAGATTAAATATTACTTGACAGCGCACGTCGGCACTTCCGAGCACTGATGATCGAGAATACGCGATGCAGTTGGCGCTGCCCCCTCTCCCTTCCTCTTCCCTCGTCCCCACGTTCCCATGTTCGCATCGACCTCCCTCACGCCGACTCCCCTCCTTTCACACATTCCAGTCCTGCTCCACCGCCTCCAAATGAACCCTCCTCCCATCTCCTCCGCCCCAAGCCGTGTTGCTCCCACGATCCCGCAACCCCAACCGATTTCGATACCAACTTCGACCACGCACCCGATCTGCCAATTTTGCGTCGGCGATGAGTCCGAATTACCCGTGAGACGTGTGCGCTGGCAGAAAGGGGCTGCCGAACCCCTTGACGGGTTTGGAATCCGCGGCAGCTCGCCCACGTCTCCTCTGAGACCAAAGCTGCTGAAGAACTCGTGCCACACCCGATGTGCGCAGGTTCCGTCAACAAGTCACTCGCAGCAGGAGGAGGAGGAGAAGGGACGGAGGGAAAGAGGGAAGGAACGCATCCCCTGACAAAGCATACCTGCTACGTGTGACGTATCCACAGCCGACTTGTACGTGGCGAAACAGACGAACGAGACCGCAGACGATGCGCGCAAGGCAACAGATCGGAGGGTGGCATCGGGGTCACAAGTGCCCTCCCATGTCCACGGTGGGTTTTCACGGCTTGGGGTCTTCAGTGAGTAACGCGCAGCTGAAGTGCCACTGGATTGGACTCGAGCTCGTCACCCGAGCCTTCTGATTGGTGGTCGCCAAGACGCAGAGTCAGTCGTGTCGACTGTTGCCATGCTCGGTGACCCTCCGATGACCTGGACTTTTGTAATGCCCCACCCTTGCTTCAGATGCCTTACCAGTTCCACTGCGCCCGGATCAGCTTATTTAAGACTCCTTTCCACTGCTTCAAACGACTACCAAAATAGTGGCACCACAAACACAAGCATCGGTCCTTTTTAGGCCACCATGGGATGTGAATCTGCCGTGCATGATTTTTCGCCACGGGATAGAGCATTTCCCATGTGTCATAATTCTGATTTTCTATAGAGAATAACTAAACATGAAATGAACAAATCGGCTGACTTAGTGTGGGTGTGTAACTGACATTAGTGCATTGTACTCTTGATGTGACTTTTGCCCTTAGTATCACTTTTTATGAGGCGAAATTATCTACTGCTTTTGCCACACTTGCACTTTATTAAGAGGGATTACTTATTTTATTCATCTTGTGTTGTGTCATCGACATGTCATCGAACGAAGAATCCTTGTCTTCAACTTGATAAACTGTATGGTGCACTCCACATACAACATTTCTACATATCGAAACGCGAGGAACCCCTCTTCAAAAGTTTAAGGACGAGTAGTGTCCCATATCATTATTATTATTATTATTGTTACTACTTTCTGTTTGGTCTCCTTCTTCTGGTGGAGGTCGCGCATGTCCTTTTTCTATGTCCGCATTTCTGTGTTCCTGGATGACAGAGGCGCGATTAGCACATCTCATTCGGGCATAAGTGTATGACCTGAAAGGAAAAAGGGCCGGGCTGCAAATTGAATAGCCCGTGTGGGACTCCTGGGTAAGCAGTTCCAACACCTAAAATCAAACCAGCAAGGCAGCAGAGTCTTAGGACAAACCCCTGCTCCGGAGTCTACTCCCTCAGGCAACTTGTCTGAATCTTCCGTCTTGTGTCACATCCCTCCCCCCCCCCCTCTGTCTCGCTAGTTTCTCCTTAGATCACCATCATCCCCTTGCATTGCTCCGTGTTGCCTAATGCAGCACCACTTCCGTCACTTGGGTCCCCTCGCATTCTTCCTCTCCTCTACTCGTTGCTGCTTGCCCTTCAGATCGTGTTTGGGTTTAACTGCGTGGACGTAGGGGGAGTGCGAAGGCGGGGTGAGCGAACGCCAGATCCATGTCGTCGGAGGTGGAGGTGGAGGTGGACAAGCAGCAGAGCAGTCGGGCAGGCATGGCGGAGAAGGTGGCCAGTGCCGCCCTGATAGGTATTTTCGTTTACCGCAATCTATCGTGTCTGCGATATTTGATTTGAATTTTTTCTTCTCCTTCTTCTTCTACTTCTTCTTTTCCACGTCGGGTCGTGTTGGCAAAGACCTCAATTCTTGCGGAAAGACGTGGGTTTTACGGGTTTTAGGGTTGGAGGGTGCATTTAGGGCTCCACTCAGCATGGGAGCATGGGAATGGTTGGCAGGTTTGACGTTGATGCCTCTGGTGGTGAAGGTGAATCCCAATTTCAACGTTGTAGCAACAGCTTGTCTGACGGTGTTCATAGGATGTCATCGGTCTGTGAAGCCCGCTCCTCCCTCGGTAAGTTTTCGAACTCCCTGTGCTGTGGGTGTTTACGTTTTCGAGGGCAAGCGAAGCTTCGGATTAAACTGAGAAAGTTCGGTAGCTAGTTGCGATGAATTGAGCAAGGGTGTGTGGGGAGGTGGAAGAGGTTGGGCTCAGGCGAGAGTGTGGTCTTCCTGGTATGATGGCATATGACGGAATTGACATGGTGAAGGAAATCCTGTGTCCGGAGAGGGCGTGGTTGATTTTTGTTGGTTTAGTATTGGACATTCTTGGGGCGAGATCCGCAGAAGAAGCTTATTTTGCAGAGCGTGGTTGAAATTCTAGCTGCGATGCGTGGTTGAGCTTAAGGCCTTTCGAAATCCCTCCGCCCGGCCCTTTTATTTTGTTTTTCAGAATCTCAGGATGGGACTGATACGCATTGGTGGTGCAGGAGACGATGTCGAAAGAGCATGCGATGCGATTCCCTTTCATCGGCAGTGCAGTTCTGCTGTCGCTGTTTCTGCTATTCAAGTTCTTACCGAAAGATCTGATCAACACTGTCCTGACTTTGTACTTTTTTGTGCTCGGGGTTTTGGCGCTCTCGTACGTAACCTTCGGACCCTTAGTGTCGTATCTTCGTGTCTGATTGCACCATGCGCACTGTCCACGACCTTTGAACTGGCACGCCAGGTGTAGGGTCTGGTGATCTGGATTCGTGTAGCAGCGCTGATTGGTGGAATTGGATGCAGAGCTACGATTCTTCCAGCATTGGAGCGTTTCCTGCCGCCAGAATGGAACGACCACCTGATCACGTGGAGGTTGCCGTATTTCAAGAGTGAGCAACAGCGTGTGTGTTGAGTCTGGGTCTCAGCTTCTTGCGCAATGTGCAATTTACCTGGGCCCTCCGTTCTGAGAATTGCCGTGCCTCGCTTTATAGATAGATGTGACTCCTGGGTAGTGTGGAGGTTTCGTAGCACATTAAGAGAAGTGTTGTTGGAGTGTGTGGAGTGTGCAATGGATGGCTTGGGTGGTTTACGAATGGTGCTCTTGGGGATGCAGATGTGGAGGTGGAGTTCACGAAGTCACAGCTGGTAGCAGGCATTCCAGGTGGTGGGTTCTGCATATGGTATGTGATGAAGAAGCACTGGTTGGCCAACAACACACTCGGATTGGCTTTCTCTATTCAGGTCTTACCCGTCTCCACTTCCTTTGAAGCTTCGGTTGAAGCAGTTTGGTTGAGTCGCGTGCGTAGAGTTTCGGTGGGGCGTCTGTCTTGTTGAACAGCTGGGAACTGCATAGGCTGATGTACGGTGTTGGGGCATAGCAGTCAGGACAAGAGTCAGAGAGGAGGGGGACGATTGGTTGAGGTTTAGGTGGTGGTTGCTGACTTGACGGAAATGGTTTGCTTGACACAGGGAATCGAAATGCTATCGCTGGGGTCGTTCAAGATTGGAGCCATTCTTCTGGTGATTAGACCGGCCACCATTGTAGTTAATGTGATGATGCTGTGTGCAGGCTGTGATGGATGGTCTTCGCACATCTATTAATAGTGTGTTAGAAGCATATTGCATGCTATCTGCTTCTTACAGTAATCGAACCCGCCACTTACGGCTCAAGCCCATGATTCGTAAGAGTGGTAGGTTTTGGGATCGCTTTGCGGGTTTGTGTGAAAAGGTGCAAGAGTGTTGAGTTTTGGGATTGTAAATTGGCAATTAATTGGGGAGGAGTTTGAGATGTTGGTGGTCACGATGGAGTGCAGGCAGGACTGTTCATATACGACATCTTCTGGGTGTTCTTCACGCCTGTAATGGTGAGCGTGGCAAAGTCGTTCGATGCTCCCATCAAGGTACTAAGCCCCTTATCTGTTTCTTCGTGGATGGTGCATGGCAAGCTGTGTTATGAGAGAGCTACTTGACAACAATGGAATGAGACATGTTTCGTGAGCTGGAGTTTGGTGTGACGATTGTTGCGCCGTTCGGTGGTGACAGTTCGGAATACAGAACAGTTAGATCATGGATTATGGAGGGTGTGATGCAGTTTTTGTGATTGTGACTGTGCAGCTGATTTTTCCAACTGGTGATGTTACCCGGCCTTTCTCTATGCTGGGACTAGGGGACATTGTAATTCCAGGTGCTCACTCGGCCATGAAGCCAGCTTTGCATCGCAGTATTAGCCTGGCCAGTGTCACGGCTTGATGTTCCGTTTGTGGCAGTGAATCGTCACACAGTTGGGGGTGTTTCTTAGGAGTGTATTTCTCCTGTATATGTTGGTGTGTGTGAACGACTCTTTTTGTGGTGTTTCATAGGCCGTGTGTTTTCTAGGGAGTGATGCAGTTTTACAAAGGTTTTGTGTTGTACCATTGGTGAAACAAATCCTCTCTCTCTCTCTCTCTCTCTCTCTCTCTCTGTTTTTTATTTTGTTTTTTATTTTTCGTGTCTGTTTAGAGCACGTATAGGCATGATGAGGTTTCTTCTGTGAAACGAATGAATCTTATTATAGGCTTACCGTCAGCTGTCACTGTGCTAACGAAAAGCTGTTGGCGAGTAGGCGTTTTATTTCATGCAGTCGTGCTTCCTTGGAAGTGATGTGAATCTCTAGTCTGTGCATGATGATCACAGCCGTACCGTATCGCACGTTGCTTCGTTTTGCGCTTTTTGTAAATCGTCGTTTGCAGGGCGGGAAGGTCGGAGGTCCGCATCACAGCATCAACATAGGCCACGAGCTCTGATACAAGGATGGTGCTTATGTTGTGAGCGCAGGCATTTTTGTAGCTTTGGCGTTGCGCTTTGATATGTCGAGGGGTCGGGATAAGACCTATTTCACGAGTGCATTCTCTGGGTACACAGTAGGCCTTCTAGTCACCATTTTGGTGATGAATTTGTTCCAGGCTGCACAGGTATGTCCCTTGGAACAGTTAATGGAGTTTCCAACAATTGCAAGTGTCTTGGTCACGTGCAGGCTGTGTTAGTGACGCAGGTGCATATGTTGAGTGCACGTAGACAGTTGATTGAAGGCAGGAGACGTCCAGAAATGGGTGGATAGTTCGATAAGCTATTGTGTGAAAGTGCATAGTGTGATAGACTGGAGAGGGATTGCAATGTGATAATACACGTGATATCTGAGGTGGGTATTGACTTGGCATTTCGCAGCCTGCACTTCTTTACATCGTACCGGGAGTGATCGGGTTTTTGGGCGTCCATTGTGCTATGAGGGGCGAAATCAAGCCTGTGAGTACCATGCACTTTCTGTTTTTCTTTTGTAAAAAGTTTTATGGCTGATTTGCGATCAGGATCGTGCAGATAATCGATGTATTTTAATATTATATTTTGCGTTCCGTGTAGCTTCTGGAGTTCGATGAGTCTGCTGCAGCCCGAGACAGTACTGACGAAGCCCAGGACGAAACTGTAGCGACCACAAGAGCTCTACATTCCAGCGGTATAAAGACGGATTAGTGCGACTGTTTATGGCTAGCTCCGGATTGCTGCTGAGTCGGGGTTGACAACCTGTGCTGGGAATTTCCTCCATGTGGAGTATGCAGGTGGGGGGTAGGCCTGCATATCCCTGTCAGCCTGATGCTCGTAAACGTGGTTGTTTCGGCGGTGTTGATTACAATTTTTTTCTAGATCTGTCATATGTACTGGTATCGTGAATCAGACTTTACGAAGTTGAGTGCGATACTGATTCTTCAAATGAGGATTGTTTACCAGTTAATATAAAAGGCATATTCATATCAACGAAGAATTTATCTCTGTTATACATCAATTCTAGTCGAAACAGAGCGATTGTCGACGAACATGACAACGGCGATGTTGAAAAATATTAAATATATAAATGAGACAACGAAACATTCCACGCAAATTTAGTTAACTACCAGAATTTAATCAGTATCATCCTCAATATCAAGGAGATCTGGTCAAATCTCCCACAACCCAACTAATCCCCGACTAATCCGTCTTTATACCGCTGGAATGTAGAGCTCTTGTGGTCGCTACAGTTTCGTCCTGGGCTTCGTCAGTACTGTCTCGGGCTGCAGCAGACTCATCGAACTCCAGAAGCTACACGGAACGCAAAATATAATATTAAAATACATCGATTATCTGCACGATCCTGATCGCAAATCAGCCATAAAACTTTTTACAAAAGAAAAACAGAAAGTGCATGGTACTCACAGGCTTGATTTCGCCCCTCATAGCACAATGGACGCCCAAAAACCCGATCACTCCCGGTACGATGTAAAGAAGTGCAGGCTGCGAAATGCCAAGTCAATACCCACCTCAGATATCACGTGTATTATCACATTGCAATCCCTCTCCAGTCTATCACACTATGCACTTTCACACAATAGCTTATCGAACTATCCACCCATTTCTGGACGTCTCCTGCCTTCAATCAACTGTCTACGTGCACTCAACATATGCACCTGCGTCACTAACACAGCCTGCACGTGACCAAGACACTTGCAATTGTTGGAAACTCCATTAACTGTTCCAAGGGACATACCTGTGCAGCCTGGAACAAATTCATCACCAAAATGGTGACTAGAAGGCCTACTGTGTACCCAGAGAATGCACTCGTGAAATAGGTCTTATCCCGACCCCTCGACATATCAAAGCGCAACGCCAAAGCTACAAAAATGCCTGCGCTCACAACATAAGCACCATCCTTGTATCAGAGCTCGTGGCCTATGTTGATGCTGTGATGCGGACCTCCGACCTTCCCGCCCTGCAAACGACGATTTACAAAAAGCGCAAAACGAAGCAACGTGCGATACGGTACGGCTGTGATCATCATGCACAGACTAGAGATTCACATCACTTCCAAGGAAGCACGACTGCATGAAATAAAACGCCTACTCGCCAACAGCTTTTCGTTAGCACAGTGACAGCTGACGGTAAGCCTATAATAAGATTCATTCGTTTCACAGAAGAAACCTCATCATGCCTATACGTGCTCTAAACAGACACGAAAAATAAAAAACAAAATAAAAAACAGAGAGAGAGAGAGAGAGAGAGAGAGAGAGAGAGGATTTGTTTCACCAATGGTACAACACAAAACCTTTGTAAAACTGCATCACTCCCTAGAAAACACACGGCCTATGAAACACCACAAAAAGAGTCGTTCACACACACCAACATATACAGGAGAAATACACTCCTAAGAAACACCCCCAACTGTGTGACGATTCACTGCCACAAACGGAACATCAAGCCGTGACACTGGCCAGGCTAATACTGCGATGCAAAGCTGGCTTCATGGCCGAGTGAGCACCTGGAATTACAATGTCCCCTAGTCCCAGCATAGAGAAAGGCCGGGTAACATCACCAGTTGGAAAAATCAGCTGCACAGTCACAATCACAAAAACTGCATCACACCCTCCATAATCCATGATCTAACTGTTCTGTATTCCGAACTGTCACCACCGAACGGCGCAACAATCGTCACACCAAACTCCAGCTCACGAAACATGTCTCATTCCATTGTTGTCAAGTAGCTCTCTCATAACACAGCTTGCCATGCACCATCCACGAAGAAACAGATAAGGGGCTTAGTACCTTGATGGGAGCATCGAACGACTTTGCCACGCTCACCATTACAGGCGTGAAGAACACCCAGAAGATGTCGTATATGAACAGTCCTGCCTGCACTCCATCGTGACCACCAACATCTCAAACTCCTCCCCAATTAATTGCCAATTTACAATCCCAAAACTCAACACTCTTGCACCTTTTCACACAAACCCGCAAAGCGATCCCAAAACCTATCACTCTTACGAATCATGGGCTTGAGCCGTAAGTGGCGGGTTCGATTACTGTAAGAAGCAGATAGCATGCAATATGCTTCTAACACACTATTAATAGATGTGCGAAGACCATCCATCACAGCCTGCACACAGCATCATCACATTAACTACAATGGTGGCCGGTCTAATCACCAGAAGAATGGCTCCAATCTTGAACGACCCCAGCGATAGCATTTCGATTCCCTGTGTCAAGCAAACCATTTCCGTCAAGTCAGCAACCACCACCTAAACCTCAACCAATCGTCCCCCTCCTCTCTGACTCTTGTCCTGACTGCTATGCCCCAACACCGTACATCAGCCTATGCAGTTCCCAGCTGTTCAACAAGACAGACGCCCCACCGAAACTCTACGCACGCGACTCAACCAAACTGCTTCAACCGAAGCTTCAAAGGAAGTGGAGACGGGTAAGACCTGAATAGAGAAAGCCAATCCGAGTGTGTTGTTGGCCAACCAGTGCTTCTTCATCACATACCATATGCAGAACCCACCACCTGGAATGCCTGCTACCAGCTGTGACTTCGTGAACTCCACCTCCACATCTGCATCCCCAAGAGCACCATTCGTAAACCACCCAAGCCATCCATTGCACACTCCACACACTCCAACAACACTTCTCTTAATGTGCTACGAAACCTCCACACTACCCAGGAGTCACATCTATCTATAAAGCGAGGCACGGCAATTCTCAGAACGGAGGGCCCAGGTAAATTGCACATTGCGCAAGAAGCTGAGACCCAGACTCAACACACACGCTGTTGCTCACTCTTGAAATACGGCAACCTCCACGTGATCAGGTGGTCGTTCCATTCTGGCGGCAGGAAACGCTCCAATGCTGGAAGAATCGTAGCTCTGCATCCAATTCCACCAATCAGCGCTGCTACACGAATCCAGATCACCAGACCCTACACCTGGCGTGCCAGTTCAAAGGTCGTGGACAGTGCGCATGGTGCAATCAGACACGAAGATACGACACTAAGGGTCCGAAGGTTACGTACGAGAGCGCCAAAACCCCGAGCACAAAAAAGTACAAAGTCAGGACAGTGTTGATCAGATCTTTCGGTAAGAACTTGAATAGCAGAAACAGCGACAGCAGAACTGCACTGCCGATGAAAGGGAATCGCATCGCATGCTCTTTCGACATCGTCTCCTGCACCACCAATGCGTATCAGTCCCATCCTGAGATTCTGAAAAACAAAATAAAAGGGCCGGGCGGAGGGATTTCGAAAGGCCTTAAGCTCAACCACGCATCGCAGCTAGAATTTCAACCACGCTCTGCAAAATAAGCTTCTTCTGCGGATCTCGCCCCAAGAATGTCCAATACTAAACCAACAAAAATCAACCACGCCCTCTCCGGACACAGGATTTCCTTCACCATGTCAATTCCGTCATATGCCATCATACCAGGAAGACCACACTCTCGCCTGAGCCCAACCTCTTCCACCTCCCCACACACCCTTGCTCAATTCATCGCAACTAGCTACCGAACTTTCTCAGTTTAATCCGAAGCTTCGCTTGCCCTCGAAAACGTAAACACCCACAGCACAGGGAGTTCGAAAACTTACCGAGGGAGGAGCGGGCTTCACAGACCGATGACATCCTATGAACACCGTCAGACAAGCTGTTGCTACAACGTTGAAATTGGGATTCACCTTCACCACCAGAGGCATCAACGTCAAACCTGCCAACCATTCCCATGCTCCCATGCTGAGTGGAGCCCTAAATGCACCCTCCAACCCTAAAACCCGTAAAACCCACGTCTTTCCGCAAGAATTGAGGTCTTTGCCAACACGACCCGACGTGGAAAAGAAGAAGTAGAAGAAGAAGGAGAAGAAAAAATTCAAATCAAATATCGCAGACACGATAGATTGCGGTAAACGAAAATACCTATCAGGGCGGCACTGGCCACCTTCTCCGCCATGCCTGCCCGACTGCTCTGCTGCTTGTCCACCTCCACCTCCACCTCCGACGACATGGATCTGGCGTTCGCTCACCCCGCCTTCGCACTCCCCCTACGTCCACGCAGTTAAACCCAAACACGATCTGAAGGGCAAGCAGCAACGAGTAGAGGAGAGGAAGAATGCGAGGGGACCCAAGTGACGGAAGTGGTGCTGCATTAGGCAACACGGAGCAATGCAAGGGGATGATGGTGATCTAAGGAGAAACTAGCGAGACAGAGGGGGGGGGGGAGGGATGTGACACAAGACGGAAGATTCAGACAAGTTGCCTGAGGGAGTAGACTCCGGAGCAGGGGTTTGTCCTAAGACTCTGCTGCCTTGCTGGTTTGATTTTAGGTGTTGGAACTGCTTACCCAGGAGTCCCACACGGGCTATTCAATTTGCAGCCCGGCCCTTTTTCCTTTCAGGTCATACACTTATGCCCGAATGAGATGTGCTAATCGCGCCTCTGTCATCCAGGAACACAGAAATGCGGACATAGAAAAAGGACATGCGCGACCTCCACCAGAAGAAGGAGACCAAACAGAAAGTAGTAACAATAATAATAATAATAATGATATGGGACACTACTCGTCCTTAAACTTTTGAAGAGGGGTTCCTCGCGTTTCGATATGTAGAAATGTTGTATGTGGAGTGCACCATACAGTTTATCAAGTTGAAGACAAGGATTCTTCGTTCGATGACATGTCGATGACACAACACAAGATGAATAAAATAAGTAATCCCTCTTAATAAAGTGCAAGTGTGGCAAAAGCAGTAGATAATTTCGCCTCATAAAAAGTGATACTAAGGGCAAAAGTCACATCAAGAGTACAATGCACTAATGTCAGTTACACACCCACACTAAGTCAGCCGATTTGTTCATTTCATGTTTAGTTATTCTCTATAGAAAATCAGAATTATGACACATGGGAAATGCTCTATCCCGTGGCGAAAAATCATGCACGGCAGATTCACATCCCATGGTGGCCTAAAAAGGACCG